AAGTTCTTCCTCATGTTCAGATGGAATCTCCTCTCTTGTAGTTTGAAGCCATTGTTCCGCGTCCTAGTCTCCAGGAAGCAGAAAACAAGCTTGCTCCCTCCTCCCTGGCTTCCTCTCACATATTTATACATGGCTATCATATCTCCTCTCAGCCTTCTCTTCTTCAGGCTAAACATGCCCAGTTCCCTAAGCCGCTCCTCATAGGGCTTGTTCTCCAGACCCTTGATCATTTTAGTCGCCCTCCTCTGGACACATTCCAGCTTGTCAATATTTCTCTTGAATTGTGGTGCCCAGAATTGGACACAATATTCCAGGTGTGGTCTAACCAAAGCAGAATAGAGGGGTAGCATTACTTCCCTAGATCTAGACACTATGCTCCTATTGATGCAGGCCAAAATCCCATTGTCTTTTTTTGCCGCCACATCACATTGTTGGCTCATGTTTAACTTGTTGTCCACGAGGACTCCAAGATCTTTTTCACACATACTGCTCTCGAGCCAGGCGTCACCCATTCTGTATCTTTGCATTTTGTTTTTTCTGCCTAAGTGGAGTATCTTGCATTTGTCCTGTTGAACTTCATTTTGTTAGTTTTGGCACACTTGATCCTGCTACGACTTACTGTAACATTCCCCCCCTCCCGCATCCCACAATCACCCCCAGCCCTCTCGCTTTCTAGTCCTGTTGGTGTTGAGGGGGCTTCAAAGGGGAGGTCTCCCTCCCTCCGTGCAACCCCCCCCCCCCCCGGAGCCTGAGCCCAGCTTGCATGCCTGGAAATAGAGGGAGGGATGACAAGTAGGCCTGGGCGATCAAGAAAAAAATTGGTTCTAAACTCGTTTCGTTTCTAGGGTGCGCTAGCGTTTCGAAATTCTGAGGACTTCCGAAATTTAAGATTTCAAAATTTTGTTAATTATGAATCGATTCGTTAATGATGGACGCGATTGCGCAATATGCTAAAGAAACCTCCAAATGGGACAGGGGGAACTTCTGAAGCTTCCCTCTCCCTCTGTTGTTGACTGTTGTTGTGATAAAACACACAACAACTATATTATATTATATTATTATATTATTATAATAATATTATTATAATATATTGTGGTATATTATATTATAATATTATTATATTATATTATCGTATATTATATTATTATAATATTATATATTATAATATTATATATATTATATTATTGTATATTATATTATACAAATATAATATAATATAATAATATAGTAATAAAATATATAATATAATAATATAATAATATAATATACAATAACATAATATAATAGTATTATAATAATATAATATAATATAATATTATTATTATAATATTATAATATTATATATTATATTATAGTATTGTATATTAGAGTGAGGCAAGAAGAAGCATGAGGAAAGAGGAGGGAAGCAGCAGAGCAAAGGGACCGGAAGTGGGGTAAATGCAAGATTGTAAAACTTGCACATGCGAAAATAATGATGAAATAATGATGAAATAATGACGAAATAATGACGAAACTTGGAAAAATTGTTTCGATTCTTAATTACTCCTCACACTATTCCTGCATGGTTCGATATTGCTAATTTAAATACGAATTAATAACGAATAACGAAATTAACGAACTGGATCGCCCAAGCCTAATGACAAGGGGAAACCGAGGAAGTAAGGAAGCCTTCGGGAATCAATGTTTCCAGATCATGGCTCAAAAGGAAGTCCCGGCAATGACCTCCTCCCAAGCGAAGGGGCAAAGGCACCCAGGGTTGTTGTTCCCACCCGGGAGGGAAGAGGCCGGAGAGGAAGGATCCCACGGCTTTCGTGCCGTATGCTCTCTACGCCAGGCTTCACGGCTCCCTTTCCCCTTTTGCAGCCTTAAGCAGCATTCAGCGATGTTCATTCTGGATACGATTTGTGTGAGGATTTCTCCCAAATTCTTCTATATTCAAATTATTTTCTAATGTTGATGAATATCCTTGGGGGAGGCTTCTCTCATGTCCCCACTTGAGGAGCTGAAGCTGACAGAGGGAGCTCATCTGCGGTGTCCCCAGATTTGAAACTCTGACCTGACGGTCTTAAGTTCTGCCAGTATTTATTTATCGTGTCATCAGCAACCATTGTATTACAATTCTAACAGAGCAAAACAAACACACAGATTAAAAAGAAAAAGGGAAAAAAACACACAGATTTTGCAAATTTGGTATTTGGTTAAATGTCCTTTGACCAGTCTCTGGCCACTTGGAGTGCCTCTGGTGTTGCCGCAAGAAGGTCCTCCCTTGTGCATGTGGCAGGGCTCAGGTTGCATTGCAGCAGGTGGTCAGTGGTTTGCTCTTCTCCGCACTCGCATGTCGTGGATTCCACTTTGTGGCCCCATTTCTGAAGGTTGGCTCTGCATCTCGTGGTGCCAGAGCGCAGTCTGTTCAGCGCCTTCCAAGTCGCCCAGTCCTCTGTGTGCCCAGGGGGGAGTCTCTCATCTGGTATCACCCATGAATTGAGGTGCTGGGTTTGGGCCTGCCACTTTTGGACTCTCGCTTGCTGGGGTGTTCCGCCAGTACAAGGGTTTAACCCATTGTGCCACCAGGGGAGATGGTCAATCCTGTCAGGCTAAGGTGCAACTTGTCAGAAGCGAAATGCTAGATCCACCAGACACAGCTCTGTAAATCAAGGACTCTGGAGACTTTGGTTACAAAAGAAAACTCAATTTACTAAGCACAGAAAAAACACGTCCATCTACAGCGAGCGACACACAGGAAGAGACAGGAAAACTGAAAGGCAAAACAGAACTTTGCAGCTGTTAATCTTTCTTGCTCCAAGCGGCAACTCCCTAGAACAGTGTTTCTCAACCTGGGGGTCGGGACCCCCATGGGGGGCTTGAGGGGGTGTCAGAAGGGTCACCAAAGACCATCAGAAAACATAGTATTTTCTGTTGGTCATGGGGGTTCTGTGTGGAAAGTTTGGTCCAATTCTGTCGGTGGGGTTCAGAATGCTATTTTATTGTGGGTGAACTATAAATCCCAACAATTACAACTCCCAAATGTCAAGATCTATTTTCTCCAAACTCTACCAGTGTTCACATTTGGGCATATTGAGTATTTGTGCAAGGTTTGATCCAGATCCATCATTGCTTGAGTCCACAGTGTTCTCTGGATGTAGGTGAACTACAACTCCAAAAACTCAAGGTCAATGTCCACCAGAATGCTCTTTGACTGTAGGAGAACTATAAATACCAGCAACCACAACTCCCAAATGTCAAGATTCTATTTCCCCCAAACTCCATCTGTATTCATATTTGGGCATATGGAACATCCGTGCCAAGTTCGGTCCAGATCCATCATTGTTTGAGTCCACAGTGCTCTCTAGATGTAGGTGAACTACAACTCCCAAACTCAAGGTCAATGCCCACCAAATCCTTCTAGTATTTTCTCTTGGTCATGGGAATTCTGTGTGCCATGTTTGATTCAATTCCATCATTGGTGGAGTTCAGAAGGCTCTTTGATTGTAGGTGAACTATAAATCCCAGCAACTCCAGCATTACCAAATGACCAAATCAATCACCCCCAACCTCACCAGTATTCAAATTTGGGAGTATTGGGTATTTGTGCCAAATTTGGTCCAGTGACTGAAAATACATCCTGCATATCAGATATTTAGATTACCATTACTAACAGCAGCAAAATTACAGTTGTGAAGTAGCAACGAAAATAATATTATGGTTGGGGGTCACCACAACATGAGGACCTGTACGAAGGGGTCGCAGCATTAGGAAGGTTGAGAACCACTGCCCTAGAAGTTCTCAGCAGAAGAGAGTTTATCTTAAGGCCACTTAATCTCAGCCTCAACATAAACATTTCAGTACAGCATTTCCATTCTCAGGGGCATCCATATTTGCTACAGAAGAATTACATTTAAAACTCATACACATAATAAATCCTGACAAATCCTTGAGGAACACTTACGTTTGACTGAGTGAAACTTATTGTTGCACTCCAGGTAGAGAAAAAGCCCTCTGATTTTAAACACTCTTCACGAAGAGTGAAGAAACAAATCTTCTTTTACTGAAGCTTAATAAATAGCCAAAAGAAATGAATACTTGTAAGAAAATCAGAAGGTTCCAAAAGTAAACAGTCCATAAAAAGTAGTAACACAAAGCAATGTCCACACAAGAAATAAAATCCAACCCAAGACAGCATGAATCTAGCCAGGAATCAAGCAGGATGCAAAGACAATCCAAAAGGCTAAAAAAACTCCACAGAAACAAGACCCTTTGAACAAGACTTCAATGGGACAAGAACTTGGTTTCCAAACAATGCCTGATCTGACAGGTTTTCTCTTGAAGCAAACTTTATATCCCAAAACTCAGAAATTGCTTTCGTTTCCCCCCACATTTTCCTTTTATCAGACACAGCCTTTTGGAGCGACGTAAATACTGAGTTTGCTATCGATCCTGGCTAAACCACAGCGCCTATTCTTCAGCTCCCTATCTGGCTGTCCATTAAAATTCCCAGGTGTCAGATTGTTTTCCAAACCCAAATCTTGAGAGCTCACAGAGAGAGGGAGTGAGCCATCATTGCTAGGCCCAGCAGGGATATTCTCATGAGAAACTGCTCTTTGCACTGAGGCCTCTCTGTCATTGTCTGCATGAAAATCATTGACCAAACCATCTCCATCTTGTACCTCAGCCTCAGCACCATGATTTCCTTCATCATTTCCCACATCAGGATCCTGAAACACAAACACAGGCTGATTCCCAACACATGTAATCTTTTCCCCTGAGATGTAACTTTCTCCAAATATCCCGGTTGTTTTTGTGAAAAGATGGAGAGGATTTGGCCTCCCTCATTTCCTGTTTCTGCATTCCCAACTGCCTATCCATTATACAATTAGTATCCCCTCCTACGAATAATTTCCCCCTCAGTGAACTGTCTCTAGTTTTTAAACATTTGTATAACTGCTTATTGTTCCCCACATGAAGGTGAAGAGTTAGAAGGCAGGATCATCACGTTTGCAGAGGACACCAAATTGGGATTGCCAAGATTCCAGAAGACAGCAGAACTCAAAACAATCTTCACAGATGAGAGAGATGATGGGCCAAAACTAACACAACTTCCTGACTGTGAGAGCTGTTCAGCAGGGGAACACTCTCTCTCTCTGCCCCGGAGGGAGTGTGGTGGAGGTTCGTTCTTCAGAGATTTTGAAACAGAGGCTGGATGGCCATCTGTTGGGGGTGCTTTGATTGTGATTTTTCTGTTTCTTGGCAGAATGGGGTTGGACTGGATGTCCCACCAGGTCTCTTCCAATGCTACGATTCTATGAACTGAAGTAGACTTGCAAGAGGGTTATACTTTATACACTTTATATTTCAATTACAAAGCTCCTTTGACATCTTCCTACAGAACATCCTCTCCTCTTTCCTTTCTCTTCTTTGTAGTATCGCTTCCCATAATCCTTATTAAAGGAGATGCTGACTCTTTCCACAATCCAGGCATGTACAGGCAGTTCCAGAGTTACAAACATCAACTTACAAACGACTCGTAGTTATGAATGGGGTTGAGACAACAGGAAATGAGAGAAATCTACTACTGAAGTTTAATCCTCAGACCTTGTTTCCATGCCAAGCCATTTTTTTTCAAAATCCAATTATCACAGAGACGGAAAGTGAAGTGAAATCTGAACAGGGACATCAAGAGCAAAACTAAAACCAATGGAGTGTTAACCCTTCTGTGTACTATGCAAAACCTATCCATCTATCTATCTATCTATCTATCTATCTATCTATCTATCTATCTATCTACATACATACATACATACATACATACATAACATTTGGATGGAGTTAAATTTAAAATTCAACTTAAGAACAAACCAACAGAACCTATCTTATTAGTAACTTGGAGACTGCCTGAATAGAGTTTCTCCCCAGTGTGAATTCTTTGATGTGAACGTAGATTTCCACTCCGAGTAAAGCTCTTTCCACACTCCAGGCATTTATAGGGTTTCTCCCCAGTGTGAGTTCTTTGGTGTGTATGTAGATCTCCATTGTAAGTGAAGCTCTTTCCACATTCCTGGCATGTGTAGGGTTTCTCCCCAGTGTGGATTCTATGATGTTTACGTAGATCTCCATTCTGCAAGAAACTCTTTCCACATTCCTGACACGTGTAGGGTTTCTCCCCAGTGTGGGTTCTCTGATGTGAATGCAGATTTCCACAATGTGAGAAACTCTTTCCACATTCTAGGCATTTATAGGGTTTCTCCCCAGTGTGAGTTCTTTGGTGTTTATGTAGATCTCCATTGTAACTGAAGCTCTTTCCACATTCCAGGCACTTATAGGATTTCTCCCCAGTGTGGGTTCTATAATGTTTGCACAGATCTCCATTCTGAAAGAAACTCTTTCCACACTCCAGGCACTTATAGGGTTTCTCCCCAGTATGGGTTCTCTGATGTGAATGCAGATTTCCTTTCTGTGAGAAACTCTTTCCACACTCCGCGCATTTATAGGGTTTCTCCCCAGTGTGGGTTCTCTGATGTGAATGCAGATTTCCATTCTGTGAGAAACTTTTTCCACACTCCAGGCATTTATACGGTTTCTCGTCAGTGTGAGTTCTTTGATGATTACGTAGACTTTCACTGTGAGTGAAGCTCTTTCCACACTCCAGGCACTCATAGGGTTTTTCCCCTGTGTGAGTTCTTTGATGTGAACGTAGTTTTCCACTATTTGCAAAATTCTTTCCACACTCCTGGTATTTATAGGGTTTCTCCCCAGTGTGAGTTCTGTTATGCCCACGTAGACTTCCACTGTCAGTGAAGCTCTTTCCGCAATCCAGGCATTTATATGGTTTCTCCCCAGTGTGAATCCTTCGATGTGTCTGTAAATTTCCACTCTGAGTGAATCTCTTTCCACACTCTGGACATTCATAGGGTTTCTCCCCAGTGTGAATTCTTTTGTGTGAATGTAAACCTTCACTATGCACAAAGCTTTTTCCACACTCCGTGCATTTATAGGGTTTCTCCCCAGTGTGAGTTCTTTGATGTGAATGTAGACCATGACTGTGAGTGAAGCTATTTCCACATTCCTGGCATTTATAGGATTTCTCCCCAGTGTGAACTCTTTGATGTGTACGTAGATGTCCACTCCGAGCAAAGCTCTTTCCACACTCCAAGCATTTATAGGGTTTCTCCCCAGTGTGAGTTCTATAATGCCTACGTAGACTTCCACTGTCAGTGAAGCTCTTTCCGCAATCCAGGCATTTAAATGGTTTCTCCCCAGTGTGAGTTCTTCGATGTATATGGAAACTTGCACCGTGAGTGAAGCTCTTGCCACACTCCAGGCACTGAAAGGGTTTCTCCCCAGTGTGGGTTCTGTGATGACTACGTAAACTTCCATTGTCAGCAAAAGTCTTTCCACAATCCGGGCATTTAAAGGGTTTATCCCCAGTGTGAATTCTTTGATGTGAACGCAGATTCGCACCGTGAGTAAAGCTCTTTCCACATTCCAGGCACGTATAGAGTTTCTCCCCAGTGTGAGTTCTTTGATGTGAACGTAGACTTCCACTGTGAGTGAATTTCTTTCCACATTCCTGGCACTTAAGGTTTTTCTCCCCAGTGTGGGATTTACGATGTGAACGCAAATGTCCACTTTGAGCAAAGCTCTTTCCACACTCCTGGCATGTATAGGGTTTCTCCCCAGTGTGAGTTATTTGATGTTTACGTAGATGTCCACTGTGAGTGAAACTCTTTCTACACTCCAAGCATTTAAAGGGTTTCTCCCCAGTGTGAACTCTTTGATGTGAACATAGATTTGAATTGTGAGTGAAGCTCTTTCCACATTCCAGGCATGTATAGGGTTTCTCACCAGTGTGAATTCTCTGGTGTGAATGAAAATATCCACTCTGTGAGAAGCTCTTCCCACATTCCAGACATGTGTAGGGTCTCTTACCAGTGTGAGTTCTTTCATGTAACTGCAGAGATTTCTGCTGACTAAAACTCTTTCCACATTCAGTACATTTATATTCTTTCTTCTCCATTTTGGTAGTGATATTTACTTTAAAATGCAAGATAGACACTGCACTCTTTGAGTGAGCTGAAGCATTCAGTCAGATCGGCACCTTCGCAGCATTTCTTCTTCCTATATGATTGGTTTCCTTGCTGCACTTTTGAATTCCAAATCCTTCAATATCCACTAGATGTTGAATGGTTTCCAATCATGACAAATGTGGATCCGTAGAATGCTCCTTTCCCTGGTGAAGAAAGAAGAAATAAAAGGTAAGAGATGAAAGCCAGAAACCTTCTTCCGATTTCCCTTCATGGGTCATGTTGAAAATGGGAATATTAAGAAATGTAGTTGTGAAGGACCTCAAGGGAGCACACAGAAGACAACCAAGGTGTGGGGTTTCTGGGCTGATACAATGGCAGCATGTTGCACTCCAGATCAGGAATCTGGAGTGCAACAGAAAGCTTGCAAAAACCCAAAGCAGTAATGTCCAGAAAACTCTCAATAGAAATCCATGAACAGATTAGCCCCAGCTAATTCTCACTTGAAGCCAGGAATTTCCTTGGAGACCAGACCACTGGAAACTGGAAAACCCAGGAGGTTTGTACTTGACACTAAACGATGCTTGGTCTGAGGAAATCCCTCTCACAGCCACTCTTAAATGCCAGAAACTGATTCTGGCTAACTCTAATCTTTGGTTTCAGTTGTCGAATTCTCTCGGACCTACATAAACATTGAACCTCCCTGCGGTTCTGGCTTATCTCCAAGCTGCGGCTATTATCATTCACCTGATCAGGTGTCAAGTTATCTTGCAAACTCAGGCTAGAAGGAGAAGGGAGTGAATTTTCTTTTCTCGGTCTGACAGGAACTTTCTCATGAGAACTTGGCTTTTCCCTTGAAGCCTCTAAATCAAAGCCGGTAGGATTTTTACTGACCAAAGTGTCTCCATCTTGAGACTCGTCCTCATTGATACACTTCAGCCTCACTATCCAAACTGGGCCTTTCAACATTTACATCAACATTATCAACATTAGGCAAAACAATCAGAGATTCAGGCTCAGGTTCACACACAGGCTGAGTCCCAACACCGCGTGAAGATTTCCTAGTGATGAATCATAGAATCCTAGAGTTGGAAGAGACCTCATGGGCCATCATCCAGTCCAACCCCATTCTGCCAAGAAGCAGGAATATTGCATTCAAATCACCCCTGACAGATGGCCATCCAGCCCCTGTTTCAAAGCCTCCAAAGAAGGAGCCTCCACCACACTCCGGGGCAGAGAGTTCCACTGCTGAACGGCTCTCACAGTCAGGAAGTTCTTCCTCGTGTTCAGATGGAATCTCCTTTCTTGTAGTTTGAAGCCATTGTCCCATTGCGTCCTAGTCTCCATGGAAGCAGAAAACAAGCTTGCTCCCTCCTCCCTGTGGCTTCCTCTCACATATTTATACGTGACTCTCATATCTCCTCTCATCCTTCCCTTCTTCAGGCTAAACATGCCCAGCTCCTTAAGCCGCTCCTCATATTAAGAAATGCAATTGTGAAGGACCTCAAGGGCACACACAGAAGACAATCAAGATGTGGGGTTTCTGGGCTGATAAAATGGCAGTGTGAAGCTTTCCTAGTGAGGAGGAACAAGGGAGAGAGCAGGTTGCGATGATCACAGTTGTTGTTATAACACCAGTGTGAGAAAGTGTTCCCTTTGTAGGGGAAACCTCTAGGCTGAATTATTTGTATCTCAATCCCCCATTTTGACATCTGAGAAGGGTCTCGAATCGGAGCCCCAATGTGGACAAGTTGGACTGACAGAGACTAGTCAAGCAGGATTGCATCTGCCAGCCCAAAGAATGGACAACAAAAGCTTAGCTTTCTGCAAGGACTTTTGAAAATATTAATGCAGGGGTGCTTTGAATGCAATATTCCTGCTTCTTGGCAGAATGGGGTTGGACTAGATGGCCCATGAGGTCTCTTCCAACTCTAGGATTCTATGATTCTATGAAATAACAAGGTTTATCTTTTGGGGGAACATTACATTTCTTCTCCCATAGAACTTCTGGAGTTTGTGTTGTGGTAAGTCATAGCAGGAACAAGTGTGTGTGAACAAAAACCTTGTGGTGTTAATTCTCTTCTACAGCTGGGAAAGTAGGTCAACCAGCAAGATCAAACCACACCCAATGGTGCATATTAGGGCTGTCCAACCACGGAAAAAATTGTTTCTAAATTTGATTCGTTTTTAGGGGGGTTTTGCGTTTCGTTTTTTAAAAGAATTCCGAAATTTTTCTTTTAAAAAGTTTGATATTTACAAAATTTCAGAAATTACGAAACAATTTCGAAACAATAACAAATCGATTCATTAATGGCGGACGTGATTGTGCAATATGCTAAAAAACCCTCCAAATGGGACAGGGGGAACTTCTGAAGCTTCCCTCTCCCTCTGTTGTTGACTGTTGGTGTGCTAATTTATTTTTTCATCACTGATAAAACAAACAACGACTATAAAACTTGCACCAGACATACGGAAATAATAACGAAATAATAACGAAACAATTACGAAACGAATTGGAAAAATTCGTTTCGTTTTTTAGTTGCTCCTGAATGGTTCAATATCGCTTCGTTATTAAAAAAAAATAACGAATTAATAACGAATTACGAAATTAACGAACGAAACTGCCCAGCCCTAGTGTATATTTGTATGGGTTTTTACAGTGTGGGTGGCAAGTGGTCGTAGGTGGGTTGGATGGTGGAGAGCGACTCTGAAGGAGGCTATGGTGAAATAGTCATTCATTCAAGGTTTATTTTTGCTTTCTCATTTGATGTGAAGGAAGTTGCCTTATTTTGTGGACCATGTAAGTTTCTTGCATTGTTTGATTTTTGTGTGCATTGCAAGTCTTTTGTTTTCATCTCTGCTAAGTAAAGATTTTTCTGTTTCATTTTTACTCTGGTCTGTGAGTCTTCTTGCATTTGGACTTTGGGCGATGGGTAAAATTCGCCGCTGTGTGACAATTTGTGATTCAAAGGAAGGGTGGAACTATAAGTCAAACATGCATTCATTAGGAGAGCTGACTTTAGGAAATGTAAGGAAAATGTATTGTCAAAGGCTTTCATTGGCTGGAATCACTGGGTTGTTGTAGGTTTTTTGGGCTATATGGCCATGTTCTAGAGCAGTGGTTCTCAAGCTGGGGTCCCCATGTGTTTTGGTCTACAACTCCCAGAAATCCCAGCCAGTTTACCAGCTGTTAGGATTTCTGGGAGTCCAAGGCCAAAACACAAGGGGACCCCAGCTTGAGAACCACTGTTCTAGGGGCATTCTCTCCTGACGTTTTGATTGCATCTATGGCAAGCATCCTCAGAGGTTGTGAGGTCTCACCCCAGGTGTTTTGGTCTACAACTCCCAGAAATCCCAGCCAGTTTACCAGCTGTTAGGATTCCTGGGAGTTGAAGGCCAAAACATCTGGGGACCCCAGCTTGAGAACCACTGTTCTAGAGGCATTCTCTCCTGACGTTTTGATTGCATCTATGGCAAGCATCCTCAGAGGTTGTGAGGTCTCACTCCAGGTGTTTTTGGCCTACAACTCTCAGGCATCCCAGCCAGTTTACCAGCTGTTAGGATTTCTGGGAGTCCAAGGCCAACACATAAGGGGACCCCAGCTTGAGAACCACTGTTCTAGGGGCATTCTCTCCTGAGGTTTTGATTGCATCTATGGCAAGCATCCTCAGAGGTTGTGAGGTCTCACTCCAGGTGTTTTTGGCCTACAACTCTCAGGCATCCCAGCCAGTTTACCAGCTGTTAGGATTTCTGGGAGTCCAAGGCCAACACATAAGGGGACCCCAGCTTGAGAACCACTGTTCTAGGGGCATTCTCTCCTGAGGTTTTGATTGCATCTATGGCAAGCATCCTCAGAGGTTGTGAGGTCTCACTCCAGGTGTTTTGGTCTACAACTCCCAGAAATCCCAGCCAGTTTACCAGCTGTTAGGATTTCTGGGAGTCCAAGGCCAAAACACAAGGGGACCCCAGCTTGAGAACCACTGTTCTAGGGGCATTCTCTCCTGACGTTTTGATTGCATCTATGGCAAGCATCCTCAGAGGTTGGACTCAAACAATGATGGATCTGGACCAAACTTGGCACGAATACTCCATATGCGCAAATGTGGACACTGGTGGAGTTTGGGAAAGATAAACATTGACACTTGTGAGTGGTAGTTACTGGGATGTAGAGTTCACCTACAATCGAAGAGCATTCTGAATCCCACCAATGACAGAATTGGGCTGAACTTCCCATACAGAAACCCCATGAGCAACAGAAAATACTGTGTTTTCTGATGATCTCTGGCGACCCCTCTGACACCCCCTCGCAACCCCTCCAGGGGTCCCGACCCCCAGGTTGAGAAACACTGCTGTATACTATCTGCTCTTTGGGTCTTACATTTTCTTTGTACATTGATTGCTTTGTGTTTGTTCAGATTCCTTACTCCTCCAAACAGATTTTTTTCTCTAATTAATCACAATGCTTTCATTATGTTGCATTTGTAACAATGAAAAGAAGAACGACCTGCCTCAGGGGAGCGTGCTTGCTCCATCCATGTTCAACATCTACACAAATGACCAGCCACTGCCAGAAGGGACAGAGAGTTTCATCTATGCTGATGATCATGCCATTACTGCTCAAGCAGGGAGCTTTGAGATGGTTGAACAGAAGCTCTCTGAAGCTCTAGGTGCTCTTACTGCCTAATACAGGGAAAACCAGCTGATCCCCAACCCATCTAAAACACAGACATGTGCCTTTCACCTTAAGAACAGACAAGCATCCTGAGCTCTGAGGATTACCTGGGAAGGAACCCCACTGGAGCATTGCAGCGCACCCAAATACCTGGGAGTCACTTTGGACCATGCTCTGACCTACAAGAAGCACTGCCTGAACATCAAACAAAAAGTGGGCGCTAGAAACAATATCATACGAAAGTTGACTGGCACAACCTGGGGATCACAACCAGACACAGTGAAGACTAGGCCTGTGCGGTTTCGTTCGTTAATTCGTTATTTTTGGCATTTCCGAAGCGATAACAAAACACATTTCCAAACCCGGAAGGATTTTAAAATATCGAACCAGCAACCCCCATAGATTTAACGAGCTTCCGCTCGTTTCGTTAATGGGGTGGAGGCTGCTGGAGTGCTGGTGCCTGGGAGCCAATCCGGCGCTCCCAAGCAGTGCACCGTGGGTCCGTGGCTGTTTGTTTTTGATTGGCCGGCGAGCCCTTTCAAAGCGGCTCCGCGCGGCCGTAGCTTGCTGCAGAGGGCGAGGGAGTTTGCATTGGGTTGGCTTGGCTGCTAGCAACTGAGATTGGATTCATTCCTTGCTGCTGTGAGTGCTGCTTGCTTCATTTGCTGTCTCCTGCCTGTGTTTGGTCCACATTTGGGCCATTTTTTGGTTAATTTTCCATTTAAAAATATTTTTAATATTATTTTTTAATATTATTTTTTAATATTTTTAATATTATTCTTAAAAAATATTCTAAAAAAGAAAAGACTCTTCTGTTGGTGTGCTCTCATTTGCTGTCTCCTGCCTGTGTTTGGTCCACATTTGGGCCATTTTTTGGTTAATTTTCCATTTTAAAATATTTTTTAATATTATTTTAATATTATTTTTTAATATTATTTAATATTATTCTTAAAAAATATTCTAAAAAAGAAAAGACTCTTCTGTTGGTGTGTGCTCTCATTTGCTGTCTCCTGCCTGTGTTTGGTCCACATTTGGGCCATTTTT